TTTTACATTTCCATCAGCAATGTTTAAGGCTTCCGATTTTTCCACATCCTCACCAGCACTTGTTCTGTTGTTTTGATCATAGCCATCTTAGTGGATGGGCAGTGGTATCTCATTGTGTGTGTTCTTTAAAAAAAAAAGATTTATTTGGCTGAGTCATGGCACACGAGGCCTTTTATTGTGGCACACGGATTCTCTCGTGGTGCTCAGGCTCAGAAGTTACGGTGCAAGGACCTCCTTACTCCATTGCGTGTGAGATCCTAGTTCTCCTACCAGGGATCTAACCCACGCACCTTGCATTGCAAGGTGGATTCTTAACCCTTGGACCACTAGGGAAGTCCCTCATTGTGGTTTTGATTTGCATTTCTCTAATGATTAATGACTTCCCTGGTGGCTCAGATGGTAAAGTGTCTGCCTACAATGTGGGAGATGTGGGTTCGATCCCTGGGTTGGGAAGATCCTCTGGAGAAGGAAATGGCAATCCACTCCAGTACTCTTGCCTGGAAGATCCCACGAACAGAGGAGCCTGGTAGGCTACAGTCCATGGAGTCGCAAGGAGTCGGACATGACTGAGCGACTTCACTTAATGATTAATGACCTGCCTCTTGAGAAACCTATATGCAGGTCAGGAAGCAACAGTTCGAACTGAACATAGGACAACAGACTGGTTCCAAATAGGAAAAGGAGTACGTCAAGGCCGTATATTGTCACCCTGCTTATTTAACTTATATGCAGAGTACATCATGAGAAACGCTGGGCTGGAAGAAGCACAAGCTGGAATCAAGATTGCCAGGAGAAATATCAATAACCTCAGATATGCAGATGACACCACCCTTATGGCAGAAAGTGAAGAGGTAAAGAGCCTCTTGANACTCCCTTGCCTCGCAAAAATCCAAGTTCCCTCCCCTGTCAGTTTCAAGTAGAAGCTGCATTGAATTGCTATTTCAAATAAAATTGAGAGATACAATTCTTTGAGCAAATAATTTTACCACTTTCCCTTATCTTTTTTCCACAAGTGGTCGCAAAGAATCGGACGCGACTGAGAGACTGAACTGAATGATTAATAACAGTGAAGACCTTTCCATTTGTCCCTTAGCCATTTGTGTATCTTTGGAAAAATGTCTGTTCAAATTCTTTGCCCCTACTTTTTTTAGTTTTTTTGGCGGGGGATAGTGGTGAGCGGGGCCACACCTGGTGGGTGGTGGGTTCTTAGTTCTTCCACCAGGGATAGAACCGCCCTGGCAGTGAAAGTCCTGAGTCCTAACCGCTGGACCACCAGGAAATGCCTGTTTATTTTCTTTAAATTGAAGTATAGTTGATTTACAGTGTTGTGTTAGTTTCAAGTGTACGACAAAGTGATTAAGTTTTGTATATGTGTGTATATATATATCCTTTTTCAGATTTTTTTCCTTTATAGGTTATTATGAAATAGTGGATGTAATTCATTCCCTGTCCTATATGCTAGGTCCTTGCTGCGTATTGTTTCTTCTTAAAGCAATCTGGGTAATTTTTCCAGGAGGAGCCGCATGCCACAGCTTGAGAAATTTCCCCAAGCAGGGATCAAACGCAATCCCCCTTCAGTGGAAGCTTGGAGTCTTAACCATTGGACCACCTGTAAAGTCCTGGGTAATTTATATTTTCTGCAAGTTCACCAATTTCACTTAAGTTTTCAAATTCATTACTTATAAACATGCTCATGTATAATTGAATTTTATAATCAAAGTTGTGTTGTATAGGAAATTTAGAAAAGAAAAGAGAAAATAAAAACCACTTATAATTAATTTAAAGAGAGACTATCACTCTTAAGATTTAGGAGTATTTCCTCTGTTTTCTTTTAAGTTAAAAACAAATCCTACATCTTCATTTTTATACCTCTGTTAAAATACAATGCCACAGGGCCAAAATGGAGTCAGTTATGCTATACCTCATAAATACCCAAAAGTCTTAATTACAATTTCATCCTCTCCCAGAAATGGAATCGACATTTTTTGTTTTTTTAGCTGCACTGCGTGGCTTGTGGGATCTTTGTTCCCTGACCAGGGATTGAACCCCAGGCCCTCCACAGTGCAAGGGCAGAGTTCTGACCATTGGACCACCAGGGAACTCCAGGAATCTTAAACCAGTCCATCTGAAATGACCTGATCAGCACTGTCAGGCAGTCTGCCTGATAGACCACTGTAATCCCCTATGGGAAAGTGACTTTACAATCACCAACCCACTTTTTTGCCTAGTACAGTTTCCTTATTCCTCCTCCCCTCGGGCTGCAAAAATCTTCCATTTTATTGCTCTGCCATAATAATGAATGTAATCTTGCTATTTGAAACAACACGGATGGACCTAGAGGGCATTGTGCAAAGTGAAGTGAGTCAGATAAAGACAAATACTGCATAACTTCGCTTATAGGTAGAATCTAAACATCAAAGCAAATGAACAAAGAGAATAAAACAGAAGAATAGATACAGAAAAGAAACTGGTGATTGCCAAGGGAAAGGTTGAGGGTTGCGTGAAGTAAGTAAGGGAAGTTAAGAAGCACAAGCTTCCAGTTATAAAATAAGCAACTCACAGGTATGTAATGTATAGAATGGAGAATATTGTCAATAATATTGTAATAATATTGCCAATGTATGGGTAACAGATGGTAGCTGGACTTAGCTTGGTGACTGTTTTATAGGGTATACAAATATTGAATGACTGTGTTGTACATCTGAAACTATTGTAATTCAATCGTTCTTCATTTTAAAAAAAGTCTTCCATTCTGTGTAGCACCTCAGAGCTCCTTCCCATCTGCTAGATTAGATGCTGCCTGGTTTGAATCCATTGTTGCTCAAGCTCAAAAATTTCAATAAACCCCAGTTTATTTTTATACATCTCCTTTGGAATTTCTATTTTCTTTTTTTTTAAATAAATTTTTAATGAAAGCTCTTTTTATCAATTCTTTAATAGCTCCTAAAATTTTTATATTAATCGTGTTCTTTTCTAGTTAGTTAATTAATAATTATTTTATTTTAATTTACCTTTGTAGTTTACTTAGAGTAGTCTTTCAGTTTGTCTTCACTTTTAGATAAGGCTTTTTGTCCATTTATTTTGTTCTTCTGGTCTCAGATGTGGTTTTGTTTTATTTTGTTTTTAACAGCTTTGTGTGTGTGTGTGTGTGTGTGTGAGAGAGAGAGTGAGTGTGCTTAGTCGCTCAGTTGTGTCTGACTCTTTGTGACCCCATGGACTGTAGCCCACCAGGCTCCTCTGTCCCTGAGATTTCCCAGGCAAGAATACCAAAGTGGATTGTCATTTTTTCTTCCAGGGGATCTTCACAACCCATATCTCCTGCATTGGCAGGTGAATTCTTTACCACTGCACCACCTGGGAATCTTGAACAGCTTTACTGAATTATAAATTTAAGTATCATAAAATTCACCCATGGTTAGGTGGACAATTCAGTGATTTTTAGTAAATGTACTGAGTTGTGCAACCATCATCACAATTCATTTTAACACATTTCTATTATGCCATTTTATACCTCGTGGCTGTTTTTTGTTTTTAGTATTTATTTGTTTATTTATTTGGCTGCATTGGGTCTTAGTTGTGGCACATGGGATCGTCACTGCGTCATGTGGGATCTTTTCGTTGGGGTGCATGGGCTCTCTCATTGTGGCACGAGGACTCCAGGCTACCCAGGCTCAGTAGTTGTGGCATGAGGGCTGTGGCATATGGGATCTTCTTCAACCAGGGACCAAACTTGTGTTCCCTGCGTTGGTGGGGGGATTCTCAACCACTGGACCACCAGGGACGTCCCAGTAACTCACGGCTGTTTGCAGTCAGCCCTCCTCCCCACCTCCAGCCCCAGGCAACCCTTCATCTGCTTTCTGTATCTGTAGCTTTGCTCTTTCTGGACACTTCATGTAATGGAATCATATAATATCCAGTCTTTCCTGCCTGGTTTCTTTCACTAACCATAATGATTTTGAGGCCCACCCATAGATCAGTTGTGGCTTCCCAGGTGGCACTTGAGGTAAAGAACCTGCCTGCTAACACAGGAGATGTAAGAGATGTGGGTTTGATCCCTGGGCCTGGAAGATCCCCTGGAGAAGCAAATGGCAACCCACTCCAGTATTCTTGCCTAGAAAATCCCATGGACAGAGGAGCCTGGCGGGCTACAGTCCATGGGGTTGCAGAGTCAGACACAACTGAAGGGACTTAGCACATTACATGTATCAGTACTTCTGACTTTTTAGGTTTATTCACCTACTCTTTTCTGGTGGTTTTCCCCTAGACTCAGGCAGAAATCAGCACTTTGCCAAGGTCTCCAGAGGACCTTTTGCAAATCTCTGGGACTTTCTCTCAGCACAACTCCCTGACTCCTGGTTCATTACTCCAGATTTTTTTTTTCATAATTTTATTTATTCAATGATTTATGACCGTGCTGGGTCTTCGTTGCTGTGTGGCCTTTTCTCTAGTTGCAGCAAGCCGGGACTACTCTCTAGTTTCGGTGAGCAGGCTTCTCACTGCAGGGGCTTCTCTTGTTGTGGAGCACGGCTTCTGGGGCGCGAAGGCTTCAGTAGTCGAGCTCCATGGTCTCAGCAGTTCCCCGGCTTTCCCTCGGCAGTAGTTGTGGTGCACGGGCTTATTTGCTCTGCCGCTCCCCTCCATGTGAGATCTTCCTGGGCCAGGGATCGAACCTTTGTCTCATGCATTGGCAGACAGATTCCTAACCACTGAGCCACCAGGGAAGCCCCAGACCCTTCAGCTATTTTATAAACTCTTTTGCTCTTAAATTTTGGCAACAGTGTTTTTCGCCCCCGCCCCCCACCAGAGTCCTCAGATCAATGCTCTTTTTCCTTTAAAAGCTGCACAATCTCTCCTAGGATGTACAGAGTCTCCTCCCTCTGTGAAGGAGGAGATGGTCAGCAGGCAGGTGACTGAACTGTCCTTACTCCCCTCATTGAGGCAGATGTCAGATTTCTGATGGAGAACCAAACTGCACTGCTTCCAGAAGTTTCTGGGGGCCTATGCGGCTTTCCTCTGACAGAATGAAGACTGTTTTCCCGCTGCAGAGCCAGTCTAGGATCTGCCCACAGTGCAGTGAGAAGGCTGTCTGCCTCCTGATTGCTGGGCCCAGCCCGCCTAGGGAGCCGGGAGGCAGTCACTGTCAGCTGGGGTGCGTGGGGAGCCCTTTCTTCCAGCTCTTACTGTTGGGGGTGCGGCCTGAGAGGACGCTCAGTGCCCAAGATGCAGTGGGTGCATCAGTAATGGTAGATACTGTCATTGAATGGGGCCGGGGCCGGGCAGTGAGGCCCAACTTTGGTTTAGACTAGCTTAGATCAAACTAGCTTGCCAAAACTAGTCAGACTTCCACTAACTCTTTGATCAGAATGGGGATACAGGTGTTTACTTTTTGGCTCTCCACAGTGCCGAGAGCCGAGCAGATACTGCCACCAGTATGTTTTACAATCAAAGGTTGCATTTAGGGCGGCGCTGTGGCCCACGGGCGGCCCCACGGAGCCGCCATAGCCGCCCGCCTCCCACGACCCACCGTCTCCGCCGCCGGCTCCGCGCCGCCGCTGTGGCCGACGTGGAAGACGGTGAGGAACCCTGCGCCCTGTCGTCTCACTCGGGGAGCTCAGGATCCCAGTCGGGTGGCGACAAAATGTTGTCTCTCAAGAAGTGGAACGCTGTGGCCATGTGGAGCTGGGGCGTGGAGTGCGATACGCGCGCCATCTGCAGGGTCCAGGTGATGGATGCCTGTCTTGGATGTCAAGCTGAAAGCAAACAAGAGGATTGTGTTGTTGTCTGGGGAGAATGTAATCATTCCTTCCACAACTGCTGCATGTCCTTGTGGGTGAAACAGAACAGTCGCTGCCCTCTCTGCCAGCAGGACTGGGTGGTCCAGAGAATCGGGAAGTGAGAGCAAACGAAGGTGTTCATGCAGTCAGTTGTTCGGAGCCTTGGTATATCTTGTTATCAATTGCTCTACAGAGGCTAGAACTCTCCAGGGGACTAATTCTTCGAATAGGAGATGGATCTGTGGTCTTTTGGGACTCATCAAAGGCATGCTTTACCCTTTTTCAGTTTTATTTTCAGAAATTCTCTACAATTAAGATAATTTATTAAGGATGGTCTTTCCTACCTCTGGTATGTGTCTCACACACTGCTTAGAAGTGCTATAAAGGAGAGGACTATACATTAAACAACCTTCATAATTTACTTACCGATATCCAAGGAGTTATTGAAGCGGTTCCGTTCAGAAGAGAATTTTTTGCATGCTTATGGTTGATCAGTTTTTTAAAAAGACAATGTTATAGTAACAAATAAAGTACAGTTTAAAACCCAGTTCTTATCCTTAATGTGTTCCTAATATTTATTTTTGGCAGGGGGGAGGATAATTAATTAAATTTTTATTTGATATAATTTTAAGTTTGGACCAGCGAATAGGGTAAATAAAATTTAACCTTTGGGTGTATGGGATTTCAGGTGTCTTTATAATCCTCTCTCTGACTCATCGAGAAAACCTAGATCTGCACTCATCTAGTGAGTGATAAAGGACAGAAGTTTTTTCAGCTTCTGGTTGTATTGTGTTATAATTTAACTGTGTTTTAGGTGGAATGTTAACAAGGGGAAAATGTTTACCATTGTCACATTGGGTCACAAAGTTAATTTTACCACATGATTTTCCAGCTATGAGTCTAATGTGTCAGCTTTCATTTACTGTTTGACTACCATTAAGGAAGGAAATAGGATAATTTTGTTGATGAGATTTTATGATTTCTGCTCTGATAAGTAGTAAGTGAACTAGTCATCCATTCATTCACTTATTCATTTAATACATATTTATTAAGTACTCACTATGTATCTGGACCTCTATTAAGGAGAACTGGATACCAAAAAATAGGCCTTCAAGCTCACAATATAATAGAAATGTACTGTTGTAAATGCCTACTCTTCCCCTCTGACTGTCTTATGGAGAAGGAGTTCCTCTATATATACAAATATATAAAAAATATATACATATATTCATGCAAAGATATGAGTACATAAATAAATGACATGTGTAAGTAAAAATAAAACCTAGAAGTTTCAACATAGAATATTTAATCCCAGAATTTGGACCTGACTCACGAAATTCTGGATTTTTCTTTCCCTCTCTGCTTATCAGCAATACTTGGCCAAGCTCACACTGATGTTGTTATTATTAGATAAAACACTCATCTGCCTTTTCATCACTCCTACATCCAAAGACATCACTTTGCATTAGTAGACACTGGCTATGACATAATGTCAAGTTAGGTTTTTCTAATGAAATTCTGGAAGCCTTTGGGATAACCTGTAACTTGACCTTGTAGTGGATGCATGTATATTACCCCTATCTCTGTTTTGAAAACCCCTATCCATAATGACTTGTCAGATTGCTAAAGGAAGAAAAGTTTAAAGGGAAAAAAACCTTAAGGTTTTTTTTTTTCTAATACTCCTTCTATTCTCAACCCTAAATTAAGCCCTGAGGCTGAGGATTGAATTGCACTGCAGCTGTTGACCATTAACACCTGGGGAAAATACTTCTATTTTTCCACTGGTGAAGATATCAAAGGGAGTAAAATTAATTTTACATCTGAAAAATTTCTCCACATTTGCAATATAACTTATCCTGTCATGAGCATGATACCTCATCATAGTCACAGTCCCGCCCACAATGAAAGGAAGATTATACCAGGAAAGGACACAAGAAGGCAGNATCCCTGGTCAGGGAACTAGATCCCACATGCTGCAACTAAAAGTTCACATGCCACAAGGAAGATCGAAGATCCCCAAACTAATTATCCCAGCACAGCCAAATAAATAAGTAATAAATTAAAAAATCTTTGCAACCTCAGGGACGGTAGCCCACCAGGCTCCTCTGTCCATGGAATTCTTCAGGCAAAAATACTGGAGTGGGTAACCATTCCCTTCTCCAGGGGAACTTCTCAATCCAGGGATTGAACCCAGGTCTCCTGCATTATGGGCAGATTCTTTACTATCTTAGCCACCAGGGAAGCCTAATAAATAAAATAAATATTAAATGAAAAGGTTACAAGATGAAGAGTTCTGGAGACGGATTGTGGCAAGGGTTACACAGCAATGTGAATGTACTTGATGCCACTGGACTGTACACTTAGAAATGCTCAAGGTTGTAAATTTTTTAACATAGGCTTTTAACCTCTGTTTTCTGTCTCTATGGATTTGCCTCTTTTTTTTTTTTTGCTTGTTAAATCTGTGAACATAGCTTTAGTTCTTTTCCTGCTAGAAGGTTGAAGGACAGAATGAATGGATATGCTCTTAAGGGCTCTTGCAAGCATTCTTTTTCTCAATATTTTTATTCATTAAAAAAGAACATCAGTATCTGTTCCTTTTGTATAGATGACACATCTGATGTGAGTTTTTGTTGTAGCGTATTTTTTCCTTGTCTTAAATTTATCTATAATTAATTTACATGGGCCTCCCAGGTGGCGCAGTGGCAAAGAACCTGCCTGCCAATGCAGGAGATGCAAGAGACGCAGGTTTGATCCCTGGGTCAGAAGATCCCCTGGAAGAGGGCATGAAAACCCACATCACTGTTCTTGCCTGGAGAATCCCACGGACAGAGGAGCCTGGAGGGCTGTGGTCCTTGGGGTCGCGAAGAGTCGGACATGACTGAGCCACTCAACACTTATACATACAAACTTGATTTATGATACTGTGTTAGCTTCAGGTGTTCAGCTGGAAGTGATTCAGATACACACACAAACACATGAACGTGCACACACACACACAGACACACACATATATATGTAAAATCTGTTTCAGATTCTTTACCATTATAGGTTATTACAAGGTACTGAATGGAGTTCCCTGTGCTGTATGCTAGGTTCTTGTTGTTAATCTAGTTCACGTATAGTGGTTTGTATCTGTTAGTCCCATATTCCTAATTTATCTCTCCCCTTCTTGCCCCTTCCATAACCATACGTTTGTTTTCTATGTCTGTGGGTCTATTTCTGTTTTGTTTATAGACTTATTTATATTATTTTTTATATCCCACATATAAGTGATATCATATAATACTTGTTTTTAACTTACTTCACTTCGTATGATACTTGACATATTTTTTCTATAAAATAGCCTCTATGGTATCCTGCCTCCTCATTTTCCCATCTCAAGGGTCTCTCTGGGTGGGGGAATGGGGGGAGTGACTGTGTACTTGACGAAACTGACTGTAGACACTGCTGTTTCTGTAAAACAACCTCAGTAATAGGAGAGGACCTGTCAATCACATATTAAAGTACTTCACAGGGCTTCCCTGATGGACCAGTGGCCAAGACTCTGTGCTCCCAATGCAGCGGCCCCAGGTTTGATCCCTGGTCAGGGAACTAGATACCACCTGCCACAACTAAGACCTGGTTCAGCCAACTAAATATTAAAAAAAAAAATACTTCACATTTACCAGCATTATCACTCTGTAAATTTATATATATATACATGGACTTCTTTTTCTTAGACTGTGGAATAGTTGTATGCACTATACTTATTTTGATGTGTTTTGTGGATTTTTGTAGTTTGAAATTGACTTACCATGCTCTGATGAATACTGATTCTCATAACAACTGTTTGATGTAGTATGAATAGATGTGAGCTCAAGGACACTGAAGCTGTGGACTGAGCCTGGAACTGTTGCCTCTTGGCCAGCAGTGTCTTGGCCAAGGTTGACTGAATGCATATGGCATTGTAGGTATTGCCCTGAAGACCAATGCAAGTCTCCCACTGTGTGGACCGGGAGCAGTACAGGTATTTGTTGTCCCTGAAATAACTACAGTAAGCTCCATCCTTTTTAAAAAAAATTATTTATTTAGCTGTGCCAGGTCTCATTTGCAGCGCTCAGGATCTTCCATCTTCACTGGGGCATGTGGGATCTTTAGTTGAGGCATGTGGGATCTAGTTCCCTGACCAAGGATTGAACTTGGGACCCCTTGATTGGGAGTGCAGAGTCTTAGCCTCTGGACCACCAGGGAAGTCCCAAGCTTCATTTTCTTTACTGAGGGGAATCGTGGTGTTGCGTTTTCATCAGTTTCAGAGCTTGTGATTGACTGGACTCTTAACTATTGATTAGTTTTCTTTAAGGAAGCCTCGGGGCTTTTGGAGAGGAGGACATTTGTGCTGGATATGAAGCCTTATTTCTCACCTTACTGCTCCCCTTTCTTGGCGCTAAAGACAGAGTAAGAAAGTCTTATAATAACAAGGCTCTTATTGCCTTCCCATCTTGAGGGCAGCTCATCTCCTCACTCTGGGCTAAATGCCCTGTAACCCCATCATAAAGGGTATGAAGAGCTTTACTGGACTCTTGTCTTTGTCTTTTTTTTTTGCCTTCTGTGGAAGTTGATGTCACTCATAGCTGACAATGGAATGTGAATCTGAAGATTCTTAGGTATTTTCTTATACAGCATTCTTTGGCTGCATTTCAGGCCTTGTTACCCTTTGCCCAACAGGGAGGTTTTCCTTTGCCTCATTCACTGCATCTACAGACATTCCATGAGTGCCTTCTAGATGCCAGGTATTTTATAATTGGGCTTCCCTGGTGGCTCAGTGGTAAAGAATCTGCCTGCGAAGCAGGAGAGTGGGTTCGACCCCTGTGTCAGGAAGATCCCCTGGAGAAGGAAATGGCAACCCACTCCAGCATTCTTATCTGGGAAATTCCATGGACAGAGGAGCCTGGCGGGCCACACACCATGGGATCGAAAAGGGCTGGATATGACTTAGCGACCAAGCACAGTTTATCATTAAATTTCTAACCTGAGGACTAGTGTCCATGGTTTGCCAGATTTTTTTTTTTTTTTCAGATTTTAAATTCTACTGGATAACTAGGTTTCAAGTTAATTAATTCTGCTACTGCTACTGCTAAGTCACGTCAGTCGTGTCCAACTCTGTGTGACCCCATATATGGAAGCCCACCAGTCTCCCGTCCCTGGGATTCTCCAGGCAAGAACACTGGAGCGAGCTGCCATTTCCTTCTCCAGTGCATCAAAGTGAAAAAAGTGAAAGTGAAGTCGCTCAGTCGTGTTCGACTCTTCGCAACCCCATGGACTGTAGCCTACCAGGTTCCTCTGTCCATGGGATTCTCCAGGCAAGAGTACTGGAGTGGGGTGCCATTGCCTTCTCCTAATTAATTCTAGGTGCTTAAAAATAATACTTCCTATTAAGATGAAAATTAATCGTATAAGATTAATATAGATAATTGAAAGCCTTCCTATATCTGAAACAGCTCTTAAGATCCTCAAATTTTGACAAGTTGGGCCAAAATTTTTCTACCGAAACAAACAAACAAAAATCCAACCAGCCCCTATGATCTTTACTTCACATTGCAAATTGATTTACGGTATTGGAAATTACAGAAGTGTTCACACAAATTGTAAATTCTAAGTGCACTTTTTAGGAAATCCATCAAGTTGTGGTTTGACA